GATGATATTCTGTTCAGAATCCAATGTTTTACAATACGTCATTTGATAGATGAAAACCTTAACTTTCTATTGGTTATAGGTAAAATATGATGAAACGTAAGAGACAACTATCAACGAATTATGAAAGAGAAGATGTGACAGTTGGGTGTGGCCTAGGGGTCTGCTTTTCTATTTGATAGCTCTGTAACCAAACAAAATTGAAGGCTATAAAAAGTATGGTTTGTTTGAGCAATAACAATTTTATAGAGATTATTTTACGTTTAAGGGGTGATGGATAAAATAGGGATGATGACATGCTTAGACAAAATGTGTCACGTGCGTCACACTAGTGGAATTTTTTAAAAATATTTCCTTGTAGAATTAAGAACTTAAAACTTGTATACTATTAAAACACGGATTATTAGCTAAGATTTTATGTTATTCTAATTGGTATAACATAAACAAAAAGTAATTCAATTAAATTTTGAATGTAATACATCAAAACCTTGTGTTATGTGCAGTAAAGGGTGCCCGGGGCGATAAGATTAATTTTGTCATGTATTATCATTTTATATTTATTATGAAACATTATACTGAAATCAAACGTATTGTAGGTACAAACGATGTAACCATCCATTCATTTAAGTGCTTTGTACTTCTTATAGAGTCCTCTGATGATCCCCCAGAGATTATGTTCTAACCATCCTCAGAATACCCCCATAGGGTGCTTTTTGTTGGTCCTATAGATAACTCATTTGACTCTTCCTCACTTCTCTGACGCCACTCGCCAGTTAGAGAGTAAAGCAGGTAAGGAACCCTTCAATTAACCTTTAAAATCCAAAATTCAAAGGAACAGTGTTACAGAGAAAACATTTTATTGTGTCAAGCAGTAGCGGAAAATGTTGTATTTAGGTTCGTTTTGATAATCCTGTCTATATGAACTAGTATGAGATACAGATAATATAATTCAGTCTATATATATTAACAATATTTATAGGGAAGCATCTCATTTAAGATCTACAAGAGAAAACTCTTTTATGAAAGCGGTAATTATCACAGCAAGCTCTAGATTGACTATAATTTGGTTTGTCTATGTTAAAACAAAAATACATAATTAACTGAAACTTACGAATAGTAACCAAAGAAAAATACAAGAAACCCATATATTTCATTAAGTGTTCAAATATTTGCTTACAGCGCTTCTTGGTTAGAAGGTTATGCATAAAAATGTCTAAAATCACCAGCTCATTCAGTTTATAAACTAATAACACGAAACCCAAAAATATGTGTTCGAAAGTTTAATGATTAATGCGAGATATAAGTGCATTACTGAGAGGTTCATTTATTAAAACACTCTAGGTTTCAAAATGAAACATGGAAAATGAGAAGTATTTTCTGTAAAGAGAACGTTTTAATTGTGGTCATTAATCATGTTGACACAATACAAATGACTTGGTATAAAATATTTCTAATGTGGGGTGGGGGAACTCCAGCGAATCACTAAAAGCGTGTATTTGCTGGTTTCTTTATTGATTTTACGCAGTTAGTACTATCAAGGACAATTACGTCGACTTCTTTTCACAAAGTGTATGATCAATACATAGGTATGTATAAACTGTAATGTTCAATAGTCAAACGAGGGAAAGTAATGTCAGTACTTAGCAGTGTTTTTGTTTGACCTTTAATATACGTTTATATATATACCTATGTTTTTGTTTTATTTTAATATAAGTTTATATATCTATGTTTTTGTTTTATCTTTAATATAAGTTTATTTATCTGTGTTTTTGTTTGACCTTTAATATACGTTTATATATATACCTATGTTTTTGTTTTATTTTAATATAAGTTTATATATTTATGTTTTTGTTTTATCTTTAATATAAGTTTATTTATCTGTGTTTTTGTTTTATCTTTAATATAAGTTTATTTATCTGTGTTTTTGTTTTATCTTTAATATAAGTTTATTTATCTGTGTTTTTGTTTTATCTTTAATATAAGTTTACAAATCTGTGTTTTTGTGTTTCTTTTTTTTGGGGGGGGGGGTACTTTTCGATATTATTTTCTTTGAAACGAAAAGAAACACCAAGACTGAGTGTTTCTACTGATGTTTCCATACGTTTACTTTTTTTTAACAAATATGTTTAATATGCTGTAGACTCGAACACACGTGGCATCAGACATCTTGTTTACGTAAAAATGTCGCATGTGTTACGTATTACAATTTCGAATGGTCTGAAACTGAGTTAACTGATAAATTTAAATTTAGTAGTTAAATTGTACTTTGGAGTTAGTATTTAAATATATGCCGATATACCTCCAATTTATGATATTTGCCAACAGGATTGATACACAAAGTTAAACAACAAATTAACAACATCAGGTGATCTGTTGAAACTATGTCCATATGTGGACACAAACGCACTGGGTGTTGCCTCCTTTGCTTTCTTCTTTTCCAAACACCAACAATCGGACATAACATGACCAGGTTTTTACAAAAATGGCAGACAGGCCTTGATTGTTTTAAGGAAGTTTTATCCTGACCGTCAAAGATTTCAGACTAGAGGAGCTAGATTTTTTAGATACTCACATATATTGTTGATTCTTACTCTCAGATTATTCAGATTCAAGGAGAATGAGCTCCTGACCGTCAAAGATTTCAGACTAGAGGAGCTAGATTTTTTAGATACTCACATATATTGTTGATTCTTACTCTCAGATTGTTCAGATTCAAGGAGAATGAGCTCCTGACCGTCAAAGATTTCACACTAGAGGAGCTAGATTTTTTTAGATACTCACATATATTGTTGATTCTTATTCTCAGATTATTCAGATTCAAGGAGAATGAGCCACGTGTCAATCTGTAAGTAAACTTGTGTTTTCGAGTTTCGTCCTTCCATTAATAGTTATAATTATTTCTCACTATTACTAGTTTCTTCCTCTTTGGCTACTTATTTAGGGATTTTTGTATGATTTTGTTTATGTAATTTTTGGCATGGCCATCCCTACATCATACTTAATTTTTGCCAAACACTTTTATTATTTATTCCCCTTCTTTTTTTAAATAATTTCATTGAAGTAGGTTGATAAGTGAACATTTGTTATATTTTTATAATTCAATGGTAATATATATTGTTAATATCAGTTTTGTCAGTTTCTTCATTGCACTTGTAGAATGTCCTCAGATACTGATATTATACTACACAATTGGCTACAATAGATTATTAATCATCATTGTTCATAATCTTGACGTCTTGAGATTAAATGTTGAGGAACCTACACTAAGGAAAGAGCATATGAAAAAATGTATAGTTGTATCGTCTTTAAATTCATGTTCGCATTCTTTTTGGCACTGCCATCCCTACATAATTTTACATTTACAAAATGTTTTTATACTTGTTCTCACGTTTTTATCCTGACTGAAAGTTAGTGTATTCCACGAATGTGTGTAATAAAATTTAATATTATGTGTATTGATTTTTTTTACTTCATACATGGTATAGGAATTGGCTCCCTAAAGACACCGATTGTGCAGTGTACAAAGCATTGAGTATTCTGCATGTTCATCCATTATTGGCTGGTAATTTCTGTTTAACCCTGTACTAAAGCTTTTGAAAGGAACACCAGATTTCTATAAAAGCTAACTTCGAAGTGTAATGATAACATCGTTTATACCAGTATTATGATTTTTCTTTTAGCTTATAGTAAGCACAGACGTTCTTGGTGTTAGCTTGTTCCCAAGTACTATTAAATTGCTTTTGTGTTGTACAAAAGCCATTGCGAAAACGTCACACATTTTTGGGCAAACGTGGAAAAAGAAAAAAAGACGGACACTTTGGCTCTTTAGCTAGTTCCCAGTTGTTTCACTTTAACAACACTTTTCAATGATATTGGGAGTCTCACAAGCTGACATAAACTCGATAATGGCAATTAGGTTCTCAAGTAAAGCTATAACTCAACTTTAGCTGATAATTGTAAGCATCATAGAGTAATAGATTAAATCCGGCAGCCCTTTTTTTCTCAGCCCATTACTACATAGTTAAGCACTACCGTGTTCATTGATAATCAAATGCTCTCCAGTTGAGCTGGGGTAAGTTCACGTATATACAACGCTAAGATCCGAAATTTGATTCACCGCGGTCGATAGAATGCATATAGCTTATTCTGTGCCTTTGGGATAGAAATAAACATAATTAAACAAAACAATTTTTACACGTAGATGATAGCGAAAGCAGTAAAACAAGGTTTTACTTAAGTAGCATAAAGTGAATATTTAGAGAAACAATAATTTTATATCTAAATATATACTAGATGTACTTGGACATCGAAGTAGTATTCGAAGGTGTTCTCTTTCAAGAGTAAATAAAACCAAAAGTAACAAATAGTTTAATTTCTTGCTTTTAAAGTTCACATGTCATACTGTGTTGCAGCTTACAGAGTACATAATTCTTCTCGTGATTCATGGCATGCCTATGTTTTATTGATGTCACGAAAGTGCAAATTGCAACATTAATCGTCTCATATATAACGTAATTTTAGTGTCTTTTGAATGACTGACAGACAACATACTACTGTATGGTGGTGCGGGAAGTTAAAACAGGTGACCCTTCCAGGCGACCTTGGACACGTTTCGGAGAAATCATCATAAGTTGAAATGAAATCATAGTAATGCTTTCTTTTCTCTAGTAGTATCAAATGAGCGAACAATAGAACGAATGACTCCCTGCTATGGTCTCAACAAACATGAAGTAATGAACTGCAGAAAATCGCGTTTCCCTAAAATGGTGTAATTTAAATGCGAAGAAGCATAATCTAGTTTTTAGTCGAACAAATTCTACGTAAAAGAACGGAAAACCAAGAACTTTAGTAATATGATTTTTTGTTTTTATTACATCTTGTTGATGTGATTTACGTTACTAATAACTATAATAACACAGGTCCTATTAACACCTTGCTACTGTTAAGCCTAACGTTCTAATATAAATTCCTAGTAAACATAAAGCAGATTGAACAGAACTTACCATTACAGGAACACAGAAGGTAATTAAAAGCAAATCAGCAGAAGCCAAACTTGCCAAGAAAATATTATTGATAGTGCGCATGCGTTTGAAGCGGACAACTGTGTATATAATGAGGGTATTTCCAGTCAGTCCAATAATTAGAGTAAGTCCGTAGACAATGCTAGTTGGGATTAAGTCTTCTAGAGAGAATAGGTTGAAACTCTCGTAGGGATCATATTCGTATAATGGCGTGGTGTTGTTGTTCCCCTCAGTGTTAGTAGGCCCGAAGTCGTCTTCCACGTCTACAGTGTCTCTGCTAGTTTCCTCCATTATCTGAGACATAAGGACGACTTCACCTACAACATTAAAACAAATATATACGACGGTCGTATAGAAACAAAATTTGTGATCTCACTGTATTACGTAAAGTTGATATAAGTTGTTATACTTCGAAAATAAAAATACTCCGATATATATATATATCATTCTAACTTTCAGTACATAATTGTACTTAATATTAAGCTTTTTCAGAAAAGGCTTGGCTTTTAGGTTTCTTTTTCTTACCTGACAATTGAATATGCTTTGAAAACACATGTAATTAAATGAAAAAGCTTAAAACTATTAAACGTTAATTTTTTTCCGAGTAAACCGTCAATTTTAGTTTTATACATACACTATTGGGGACGTAAAATACAAAATTATTCATAAAAATAGTAATGTTAAATAAATCAGGTATTTAATGTAATTAAGCACTTTAAGCGCTTATATGACTATTATCAGCTCTACGTTCACGTTATTATTCTGGTTTAATACGAAAACGTATAATTATGTTCAAATTCGATTATTATTCGATAATTATGTTGTTGACTAAACAGTGATGAAAACCAGCTCATCTAGTTTCTTAATGAAAGGCTATGATTAAGTACAGCATATAAATGTTTTGTTTGGAAGTAGTTTCTCCATATTCATTAGACGCTTTTGAAATGTTAATCAAATTAAAGGACAAAACTTCGTGTTTACATAAAACAAAAATAGGGTTTTTTATTTCACCTAAACTGTTTCTCGCAGTGATGAAGTGCACAGACACCCACTGTTTTCTATATCAGAGCTGAATATCCATTTTATAGACAAATGAATATTGGCGGTTTCCATTTTACAAATAATAATAACAGTCTTACAATAAATTTGCATTAACTATCATAAAAATGTGTTCGGAAATGACTTATCTAATTTTATAGTAAAGCTATATCTAACAAGTGAACTATATCACTAAAAATGCGTTTGGAAACGGCTTAGCTAGTTTTACAATAGATATCAACATCTTAGCTAAACCATCATGAAAATGTGTTCGGAAACGCTTATCCAGTTTTACAACTGAAATAAGCCATTAAAAAAATATGTTGTTCAATAGCCTTATATTAGCAGCTGAGCTAAGCCGTCAGAAAAATGTTTTGAAATAACTTATCCGATTTTACAATAGCCTTATATTAGCAGCTGAGCTAAGCCGTCAGAAAAATGTTTCGAAATAACTTATCCGGTTTTACAATAGCCTTATATTAGCAGCTGAGCTAAGCCATCAGAAAAATGTGTTTCGAAGTGGCTTATCTAATTCTACAACAGACTTATATCAAGTAACTGAGCTAATCTTAACGATTAGACGGTACTCCAGACAGTAAGTTGTCATATCATTATGGTATGTTGTCAGTACCAAAACATTTATGCGAAAATAGTATATCCATTTTTACTTACAAACTCATATACTCTTTTAACAGTTTGTTAACTCTCGCGCTAAGTCACTCGAGTGTCTGCGCTAGCCGTTCCTAATTTTGAAATTATAAACCAGAGAGAAGATATTTAGTCTGCACCACCCACAGCCAATCCATGGGCTACTCTCTGTAGTGGGTTTGATTGTAACATTATAACGCCCCCACAGCTGAAAAGGTGGGGATATTCGGAAAAGGGATTCGATCCCACAACTCACAGATTTCGAGTCCAGTGCCTTAATCACCAGGTCGTGACAAGCCTCTTATAACAGAAGTATTGAAATTACACCAAAAAGAAGATTATGTTCGAAAACAACTCTTTCGATTTTGTGAAAATTACATTACTAATGGCCCTCTATAAAGTTGTATGGGGAGAGGCGGGTGAAGTACATCCATATTTTTAATACAAAATTCTGTGTTAGCTTATATATTTACACAAACAGAATTACGGAATTTACCTTTTTTTTACAAAAGTTTATTAGGAATCATAAATTAGTGTTAACCAACTGAAACACGTGTTCAAATAATTCGTTTTACTTGTTAATTTGGTGGGTTATTTGAAATAAAATATATCAGAATGAAGTAATTTGGTAGTTTTCAGTTTGAATCATAGTCAATCACATATAAAATTAATATATATTGTACTCAATATAAATAACATTAAGACTTATAGTTTTAAATATTATAACATTAATAATGCGTTAATAGATTGTTTAGTTGTTTTTGCTTTATGTTTATGATTATGCTAATAATTAACATACTTTGAAGGATAGTTTAAACTCTCTCTGGTGATTTTGGGACTAAAATTCTGAAAATATGATTTGAAGTTAATGAATTTTACTGTCCAATAACTTGTTTTTAATGATAATTTTTACGACCAGATTGATGGTGTAACAATAACCTCTAGATTAGCTCTTTCATGAAAAATTGTGGTTGGAGGAACACTTTAAGGATCGTTCTCATGGTCATCAGTTCATGAGGTATCTAAAAACATTAATCAATAAAAAAAGAAATTTTATTGATCTGTAGTTCCACTTTGTAAGAAATATATATATACAGAATGGTTTTTCTTAAGGACTCAATAAATAGAATAACCCGTGATTATTTCAGAACTTCATAATCCTACAAATATATGAAGTGTCTAATAAAACAGGCTTGTGATGGTTTTATGTCTTGAAATTTTTTCATGTTCTAGAGTAATTCTTCTCCATCACGTACAGATTTTTCACAAAACGTCAAATGTACTTTTACATTAGTGAATCATTTTCATCGAAATCGGGTCACACTTTGTTATGCTTAAAGGGTTGACAACCATGGCTATAGATTTCTCTAGACCAATCGCGACGTGAGAGTCTTATCGATCGTTCTAGAACCTAAACATAACAAACATAATAATAAAAAAAATATTGTGGTAAACTAAATAATAATTTGTTTTAAGTAAGATTTTTTTTTCTTCCTTACTTGTAAAAATTCATTACGTAACCGAAAAATTAATAGTATTTTCGAAATCTGCGTAGCTGAATTATGTAAAATCCATTATTAAAACCAAAACAACTTTTATGAAGTTTAAATTCGCAGGCCTGTGTAATTCAATATCTACAGTTTTCCCACACATTGGAAGAGTCGCGTCTTATCCTTCGAAGAATGCACCTGCACAAATCATTAACTTGTATTTTAGGCCAGAATCATTATAGATGTAAAGACATCGAATGTGGTTTGTCAGTTTATTTCCTCTTGTTGTAAACAAAATGATATTGAATTGATCCACCACAAGATGGCTACAAACACGAGTGAAAAAACGTGCAAATTTAAAAATACTATAGGCGTGGAGCGCTTCTTTGGTGAGCGTCGCCCTTTCAAACCATTTCAAGACCTTAACTAAGGCCAAAGATTGCATCCTCATAAGCAAACGCCGTAACCAATAACAAAAGAAACTTGGTAAACATCTCAATATATGTCTTTTTTTTTTCTCCGTCACACTGTTTTCTGCAATTATGATGATAAACTTCATTCACATAGCAACGATACAAGGTTAAGACTTTATTATGTACGTAGTTTTAGTCAGTTTAATAAAGCAATCTTTTTCAAATTCTTTGATTTATTCTTTAAAAAAATGACTTGGTGAACCTCTTTCAAAATTAACGAACATTGAAATCTTTTTATGTTTATTATACAAACTGTAAACACTTATTACTGTGAGTAGCATGACTACTGGTTATCATTACTCACAGTACGTGGGTGTATGACTAAAGATAAACCACTTGTAGTCGAACTACGTGTAGCATGGCCACTGGTTATCATTACTCACAGTACGTGGGTGTATGACTAAAGATAAAACACTTGTAGTCGAACTACGTGTAGCATGGCCACTGGTTATCATTACTCACAGTACGTGGGTGTATGACTAAAGATAAAACATTGTAGTCGAACTACGTGTTTTCTCATAGCTCATGTATATTTTCTCTTAAATTTATTTCTTTGTTTTTATTTAAGAACACATTTGACCCATCACTCAAGAAACGTTTAAAGTATTTTATTGAATTTAATTTCGACATATATAATAATTAATTTTATGTTAGTATACAGTGTCCATTTGATGTTTGAAACGTTCGTACATTTGTTTTTTGCAGACAGTAAACTACTAACTATATCGTAAACTATCGTTATACAATTTTTCTTCACATTCACCAAGAAGTTTATATTAATGGTAAAATAATAAAAGCGACAGTAAACATTTTGGATACACGTATGTGAAGGTAACGAGGCAGCGAAAGAAAAATAACGAGCCTTACTCACTGCATTCCATTCATGCCCATTTAGTGGTGAATATAATGACTGCTCGAAACTACAGCTCTCAGCTGCTCATGATATAGGGCTAGATTCTATAACTTATGGGTTCTCGTATTACATACTGGAAACATAAACAACAAAACAAAATCAATAAGTAACGTTATACAAAGAATTGAGTTCATTTTAATAAAATGATTTTCAATATGCAAATTAGCAAGTCATGTGACAAATACAGTCGATATAAAGAACGTACATTAAAATGTCCTTCAGATTATTTGTAAGCAAGTTATCTTTCTCAAACGTAATATAACTGTGGATGTTACATAGACGCACAGAAATAAATTGTCAGCTCTAAACAGTCACTCATATGAATCAGGATTTCAGACTCTTTCGCTAATAATGAATTATTGATTGTAATGGTAATATGCATCCGGATATCACATATACTATTGAAAAACAAATTTAGTCTCTGACGTCAATCCAGAACGCTATACTTCAATTTTTCATTACGGCATTGGTTGGTCTCTAGGTTCATCCAAAGTAAATTGCTGTTTTAATTAGCTCTCTTCTTGTGCAACTATGTACGGAAGTAAACGATCGTTAGCTTTACATGTACTGTTACCGTTTTTGACAAACATCATCAAATAGGCGCTTTTTTTCAGTAAAACAAACTTACATATGACACTAATGTAATGATAACATATGTATCTGAATATTCACACACTGCTCGAAAAGAACTAAAGATTTTAAATATCATATAGGCTGTTCAGAAAACAGTTCAAGGGGTCAGAGATAACACTAAT